TGTGATATGAGCTAAGCGATTGTTAGATTAAATCACCATTGGTAGAGCAATTTATTGTAATACTTTTTTCCTCAGTTGGTCAGAACAAACATGGCAGACTTGTTACTTGTTCAGACGACAATATACGGTGAATATTCTTATTTGGGTCATATAATCCAAGATGTAGGCTAGAATCTGTGATTGCGAAGTACAGTAAATATCCACACCAGTGCGGTGACTGACTGTCACACGTACTCTTCAGAACATTAGATTCATCCGCGCTGGAGCCGTGCCTGAGCACAACCTACGCAAGCTAGATAATTCCGCACACAGCTGCAATTCCAGGTTTTCAAACAGAGATCGCGACAAAGAGGCCAAATTTACCACCTGCAGCTTTAAATTTTGCTATTTCTTCTCAAGTCTGGAATCTGGGTGTAGAAATTGACAACGGCTTGAAATTTGACAAACAAATCAGCTCTGTAGTAGACTCTATTTGTTTCTATCTTCGCTCTCTTTCTAAAATTGAAACCTTTCTTTCTAAAGCCTCTTTAGAGATTGCTGTCCACGCCGGCTGGATTATTTCAATTCTCTATATTATGTGTTTCAAAGACTCAACTTTCCCGCTTACAAGTAGTTCAAAATGCAGCAGCTAGATTCCTGAAGGGATGTAAAAAATGTGATCATGTTACGCCCCTTCTGAGATCTCTACATTGGCTGCCTGTTCAGTATAGAATTTAATATAAAATCTTATTACTGTCTATAAATCCTTAAAGTCCCCATGAAATCAAAATTAAAGTTTTTTGGGGAGTAAGTATCAATAAGTTAGTCTTAAGGTTATCTATAAGGCAGCGTGCTCCAAAACATGACAAAATTTGCATTTTGAAGATATAAGCATTCAAAGCTTGTTATCAAATGAGCTTTGATGAGCTTCTCATCAAACTTTCTGTCCAATCAAATGCTCTCTAGAATCCGAAGCCCTACACTATAAAATAGCCGCGGCTGAAATTGGTCACTTGTCCACAGAATTAGTATTTTCTGTACAGTGAATGGCACGTAGTGCACTATATAGGGGACAGGGAACGATTCAAACAGTGTAAATATGCTTTCTATTGAGGAAAAAAAGAAGTCTGGTTTTGCGCTGTGTCATGCTAACCACCGCACCGCACACACACTCTGCTCCGGTCCAGAGACACGATAGCACGGAGCGGATCACATGCGTGAGTCGCCGCAGACCACAAAATGTATCGGAGCTATTTGAATTCTACACAGAATGCTATATTTTATAGCGATATGGATGAGATTGTGGCTGGCATACCCTGTCAAATGCGGCTTTACGGAGCTCAACGGCTCTAGCCCAAGCTGTGATATAAACAAACGCTATTGGCTATTTTAAAAAGGGGCGGGGCTGCTTGATATGTCCCGCCATGTCTTCCTGTTTCAGTTAAAATTACGTCAACACATAGAGTAGGGACCTTTAAATAATCTAGCACCATTTTATCTGCCGGACCTTCACCCTTACACTCCTACGTGAGGACTTAGATCTGAAAACACATTCCTCCTTCAGACTCCCAGAATCCGCTTGCAGACAAGGGGCAATAGATTATTTGAAGTGGCTGGCTCCACTCTAATCTCCAGACTCAAATTAAAATGGCTTCCACTTTATCTGAGTTTAAATCCAGTCTCAAAACTCATTTGTTTGTCTTTGCTTTTAACATGTAATTTTATCCAGTTTTTATTGTCTCTAATTGGTTGTTGTTGAGTTTTTTTTCTCTCTCTGTAATTGTATTGTACTTATTGTACATCACTTTGGTCGGCCGCAAAATAGAAAATATTAAAATATTTTTGTCCAAACATAAGAAAAGGGCACCCCATGACAAGGTGTGTGTGTGTGTTATAAACAGGGCTGTAGGTGCAGTGTTAGCGCCCCCTGGCTGTGAAGCTGTAACAAGTAGATGAACTCCTCTGGCATGGCGTGCACGAACGGTTTGGGTGGTTTGTTGTCATAATAATGGTGTTGAAGTGTCTGCTGCTTTAGATTGATGTCAAATGGCCAGAATCCATATAAATGCACATCATCACACAGCTCTAGTGCCATATTAACTAACATGAAACCTGTGGAGAGGCGTTTTTCTTTCAGGCCAAGCCCCTTCCAGAAACGGTCCAATGTCTTGAGGTAGTATGGACTAAAGAACACCACAGGCTGCTGAGGCCTGATCGGCTGGAGCACCTGGAGTGTTTTAATTGACACCGCAGTGCAGACTGTGTATGCAAAGGCTGGAATCATCAGAGACGCATTTCCATACACACTCACGTGCCGCACCAGCAGACCTGGATTCACAGCCATATTTCTGAAACTGCAGAGATATGCACATAAATGATCAGTTGCAACATCAATACATACAGTATATTAAATGTTATCTTACTTTCCTCACTTAAATAATGTTAATTTGAATCTTTATGTTAATAAGTCTGTTAATATCATCTCACTCTGCTGAGAGCTGACTGGGATTGATGGTCACTAGATCAGTCTTTACCCCAACATCACTGCTATTAACGGGAGCCAAGTTCAACCTGAAAAAATATCAATAATTAAAAAATTGCTGGATCTAATTCTGATAAGTAGGGCTATTAAAATGTCAATAAAAATGAGAGCCCCATGAATTCAAACCATAGCCTTTCTGGAAGTTATATGACAGACCCTCATAACAGAACACTGCCGCAATATACATGTTTATTGTGATTTCTATCTTTGATTTTGAATTTATTCTATTCCACTCTGCACATATCAACTAACTATTATTTCGTAATTAGTCTTCTGCTCTAGATTATTTTCTACTTTACAGTGTCCTTGCTATACATGTGATACAGTGGCATGCGAAAGTTTGGGAACCCCTTGCAGAATCTGTGAAAATGTTAATAATTTAGACAGAGATAGAGAGATCATACAAAATGCATGTTATTTTTATTTAGTACTGTCCTGAGTAAGATATTTTACATAAAATATGTTTACATATAGTCCACAAGACAGAAAAAAAATTATAAAATAACCCCCTTCAAAGGTTTGGGAACCCTTGGTTCTTAATACTGTGTGTGGTTACCTGGATGATTAGATTTTGTGATGGTTGTTCATGAGTCCCTTGTTTGTTCTGAACAGTTAAACTGCCTGCTGTTCTTCAGAAAAATCCTTCCGGTCCCACAAATTATTTGGTTTTCCAGCATTCTTGTGTATTTGAATCCTTTCCAGCAGTGACTGTATGATTTTGAGATCCATCTTTTCACACTGAGGACAACTGAGGGACTCAAACACAACTATTAAAACAGCTTCAAACATTCACTGATGCTCCTGAAGGAAACACGATGCATTAAGAGCATTTTTTAATTTGAAGATCAAGGTAAATTGTACTTAATTTGTCTTCCGGGAAACATGCAAGT